ACAGGTGAGTCTCTTCATTCTCTAACCCTCTGGTGAAATCATTTTTTGGTCCATTCTTCTATTCAAAACGCCCTCAGATCAGACGGAGATTATCTACGGGCGTCAATTCAAATCAAATCAAAGTATCGCCACAGATTCTCATATGTGGCCCAAAGTGAAAATCTGAGAGAGTGCAGATCAACATCTTGTTATCAAACTGTGTAAATAGAATAAAATTATTTGCAGGGGTTATTAAGATGTTTTGATCTTTTGTGTTTTGGGTTTCTGAGTTTACTTTTGATTATTGTAGTTTTCATTTATCCTGCTTCACTTTCATTTCCTTGGTCTTTTTCTGTTTCTTTCTGCGATGCGCATGTTCCCTCTTCCATAACCGTCCCACCTGCTTTGCAGCTATCTTTTCTCCCTCAGTATATTTAGTCCCTGCTTACTCCTTGTCAGATTTTTGTCTCTTGATCTTCTTAGTAGATCTGTGGGCTCCTTTGTTTTGTTACGCTGCTCACCCACTTGTTATGGAGTCATGTTTTAAGCTTGCTTTTGGGTCTGTGTCACAACCGTTTCAACACAGAAGTTGGATATTATTTTTGTTCTGCTATATTTGTCACCTAACAAGCAGCTTCAAATTAGACAGACTGACAGTAAGAGTGACAAGTGAAAACTGGGCCTTTGTGAGTTAGTTTGAAACTTCATATCTGAACTTCAAACTAAAACTCCACAGATTGTCAAAGTCATCAGTATTTTACTCTTCTTTACGTGTTTTGAACCTAAACGCTTCGTGTTCGCTGGTTACAGTTTACAGGAGTATCTGGGAGTAGAATATTATTAAAAAGTTAATTAATTTCAGTAATTTAATTCAAAAACTGATTAAACTTCTCTTTTTATTTCTGTTAATTTTGAAGGCTTATAGCTTATGAAAAACCCAAATTCCATTTCCCTGAAAATCGAAATCTTCCACAAGATTCATTAAAAATCATGTTTGCCTACTGACAAGCATCGCCGCATATTATCCAGTACGTTCACTCAAAACTGAACGAAGCTTGAACCAAGTTTTGTCACTGCTAAGCTGGAAGCTTGCTTTAATACTGAGCCTCGGCTGCATTGTTGGGTCTGGTGTCTCATCTCCATCCAGACGACATCACATTTATCCTCTGTGGAGTTCAGGTCAGGTACATTTTCTAGCCAATCAAGCACAGTCTTATTGCAGTCAGTGATGCCGTTGAATGAGGTCACAGCTCCCATCGTACTCTGAGAGGTTAACACCAGCCAGCTCTCTATCCAAGAGATGGAGCTGAGATTTCTTCTGTAACTATGAACTTTTGTGGATCTCCCTGCTTGTGGGAGACAAATGTCAAGTCAGTAGTCTTGCTAATTTTTCTCATGGCCTTATTCTAACTTATACATATCGATTGTTTTAGTCTTATTGTTAAAATGAAAGTGGATTTTGGGTTTTTGTTGTTTGTAAACCATGGTATTGTATATTAAAAGAAATATATGCTTCAAATACAATTAGTGTTTTGTTAAGTTAAAAAAACATTTTGTTTATTGCTAGAGATGACTTCTCTTAGATGACAATTTATTAAGTGTTTTCCTTTTGCGAGGTCCGTCTCTTCACACACAGCAAAGAGTCGATTACGCACTGATGGAATATTTTATACAATACAGTCACACATAAACAAAATTACAAGTGGTTGGTGGGGTAACCTGTCACTGCCCCGTTAGATAGTTATTGATCCGTTATATTATCATAATGACATACGAGCCGGCTGCTTTTCCCGAGAAAAGCAGAATGTCAGAGAGGCTCTTTGTGTGTGTTTCTAGATGCGTGTGTAATAGATGTGTTCGCTTCCTGTCGGCCTTATCAGAGCGGCTCCAGCACATGAGCCTGCACTGACAGTAGCCTTCACCGAGTGTCAAAAATTGTGGCTCACACCGACTCGGTTACTCTGTCTTGGCCTCCTTGTGTGTAACTCAATATAAGACGTATTCACACCTAAAACAATTGTCCAGAACTCCCTTCTTTCCTCTCTAGCAGTTTATTGAATCTTTGTGCATTTGGAATAAAATTACTGGTTTTAGACAACATTTTAATTTGCAGAGATGCATGTTCATGTGTTCGGTGCTCTGTTTCTCTAAAATACTCGTTTTCATCAGCTTCTTTTATCCTCCTCCTTCAGCAGTTTGAAAGACAGACATTGTAGGCAGGCTTAGGAGGGCTTGACTGAATATCAAGATGGAAGAGTGGATGGACTGATCAGGGCTGCCACCTCTGTGATAACAGAAGCCCATTTTCATTTCCTGTCTTTGCAGGTTTACACTCTGCAGACACAGTCACTGCATATTCAAGTCCCCACATTTCAAGAATAAAAAAAAAATTGTCGGTCTTAAATGCAACCCAGTTCTCACCTCTCAGAACGTACAAAGAATAACTATTAAGAAAAAAAAATCATTTTCCTTTAGCTTCCCTCTTTGCTGTAATGCCTGACATGTCTTCATCTTAAAATTCAATCACAGATAAGGCTTTAAGTTGGAAATGACTTTCTGATCTCATTGGTTTCCCTTTCAAAAATTCAATCACTGCACCTACACGATTTATTCCTCGAAGTTTTAAAATAATAAAGAAAACTTTCAACTGGAGTGAAACAGGCTGCTGTCACATTTTCTGCAAATGCCAAAACAAAACTTTAATAAGGTCGTCCATGAACATAAGAAAAAAGTCGGAGTGAAATCATGGCACTTAGTTATAAAAAGAGCAGCACATGAATGTTTCATATCCCAGAGCTTCACACAGTGCCACAAGCAGTGGGCAGGAAGTGGCAGTCATGGTGCATGAAGTGAAAGAGAAGGTGATTGTGGCCATCATACATCAGGGTCATGATCATTAGCCACACCACAGGTTGGGCATGTCACTGCCCCAGGCGTACGGTCAGAGTAAAGAAAAAGGTGCTTTGCCATGCTGCAGACTCCAATAAGTTTAAAATACCATGCTAGTCGAAAGTGTTGCATACATGAGATGACAAATTTACCAGTGATTCCTTTGTTTTTAAAGTTTTTCACTCCAGAGTTGAAATTTTGTTCAAACTTACTTCCATCCAATAACTGCACTGGAATATAAAGGAGAAAAATAAGTAGAGAAGCAGAAATGTCATTTTTACATAAGTATGTCAGACTGTTGCTCTTTATTTCGTATTTTTGGGCAACTGAATTCTCTATCAATCCATTTATCTATCAGAATCAAAAACAAAACCACAGCTTCAAACAAACAAAAAAAAAAAGATTTCCATTTCCACGATGAACAATATACCTGAAGTAGAAAACAATTTAACAGCTAGGAAAGAACAGCAGGGGGAAGTGAACAACAGGTCATGGCAAAGGGTTAGTGGTAGGACATATTAAGCAGCAAGGAAACGTTTTGTCTTAAAGTTGATGTTAGAAGCAGAAAAAAAACAGCCAGCTTGCGGATTTCAGTGAGCTTACCAAGCTCTACTTATGTTTGCTAAATGACAGGTTTAGTACCTTTCCAAAGTTACAGTGGATGTGCAGCATTCTTCCTCTGCATCAGTAAGCATATGTTGAATGTGATTCAACCAAGGAACAATAGCAAACCTGAGTGCCAACGCTTGTTTGGGTCGTATGGATCGATTTTACAGATGAGTTGTAGCTAAAAAGATGAGTTAATACTGATTCTGAAAGAAATCTGTCAGAATACATGGAGCAGTCAGGGGTCTCACGCCGACCTCTGCCTCTTGAAAGAGCCAACAGTCTGATGCATCACATTTTCTTTCACATCACCAGACAGCCAGATGCCGCGGGCAATGTTGAGGTGGGAAATCTAAGTCCTGCCATCTTTGATACAAACCACCAATCAAAGGACTTGAGCAAAACATCCACGCTCTTATGTAAAACACCAATCCTCAACAAGCGAGACCTCTTTCAGCAGCATAATGCACCACACCACCAAGGCAGAAATATCTCAGTAAGGGGTTGAGGGACACAAGAAGACTGATATTTGATGCATTGATTTTGACTGCAAATCTGTTACAAAACCATCCAATCAAAAATCAGAGGGATGTGCTAGTAAAATAAATCCAATCCATTCACAAGTCATACAAGTTTGGCTGGTGGTATAGTGTTGTTTAACACCTCACCTACAACAAGCTGCTGTCTAACACCTCACTTGTTGAAGTACGGACATCAACAAGTCGGGATTGTTTTGTCAGAATGGTAAGCCTAATCGGTAAATTATAACGCGTTTTCAAACTTTGGAGGTCAAACCCTGCAAGTTGGGTTTCTTGTTAAATTGAGAAAGAGCTTCTTGCAGATTGCAGTGAGCCACTTTCCCCAAAACATGTAGACGTGTTGAACATTTATTTCAAGATCACTTGAGAGAATTGTACGTTCTTCTATAAGCTAACATGCATTTCTTATTTTGCATTGTACCAAAATTGTACAATCATTCAGTTAATTTCTTCACGCAACACGGCGGTAAATGTCTGGACAAAACCATGTGCAAAATGCTTTAGAGAGCACAGCTCCCACCAGTGTTTGCAGAAGTGACTGTTCTGACAGAAACCCTGTGAAAGGATTTCTCTGATGCTGCGTGCAACTGAAGCAGACAGCAGAATGACAAATGAAAGCAGTTAGAAAATGCAATTAGTTTTCTAGAAACTAATTGATGTCAGTTACAGCAACTTTGTCAAACACTATTAAATGGTGTTTTACATCCCTCAGCAACCCAATTACATTCAGGTATTTAATCCGTCGACACGGTTTTTGTTATTTGGGTCGACAGTTTTTGCCCAACTTTGTTGATGGCGTTTCATCCTTGGGCAAGACACCATTCCTGCTGGGGGGGTTAAAGGTCACCACCATCAGTGTGTGAATGATGATTTGAAGTCATTCAGAGGAGCTCTGGCATCTGCTAGACTAGTTAAAGCGCTATACAAGTACAAACCATTTACAATAAAATACAGATACTCTAAAATAACAGCGATAAAGACAAAAACTGGGTATTTTCAAGTTATTTTAATCACAGTTTAGCATCATTTAGAGACAAAAACACCTTTGAAAACAACACAAAGAAAAAATATTTTTACAACACTGAACATGGATCTAAAAGAAACTCTCATGCACTGGTGCTATGTTTATTTTACAAAATTAAGAGTAGGATTTTTCTTTTTATCTCTTAGTCAGCACTGAATATCAACATGCTTTAAATCAAACGTCTACTACTAAAATGTACAGATACACACATCACTTGTTAAGAAACAGGAAAAATTTGAAATTGCACAAATTAAAGTTAAATTTCTTTAAAACAAAAAGCCTTGTGAATGTAAAAAAAATCCCTTTAATGAACTTTTCTGTCAGTGTTTTAAGATATAAACCTGCTAAAGATCTCACTGGTTGCTCCTGTATCAGATATAAAATCTGGAGGTTCGAAAAAGTCTCACCAGTCCTGGTCTGGTCAAAAACCAAGCAGACATATGTGCAATTATCAGGCAGCCAGATGTGAATGTGGCTCAGTGAGCCAATTTCCGAATGTTACTGAGGAGTCGTCTGCTGTACACTCTGTGGTCGACAGGAAGTACTTCCATTACGGTCACTTTCACCCGACTCTCGTCCTGAGGACAAAAGCAAAGACTCAAATTAGACCAGCTTTAACATATGTTCACTTAATGGGTTAAGGTAGAAAATCAATCAACAGCATGTTTAGTAACAGTTAACAAATTTGACTGCTAACCTCAAAGCACATACAACCCATCCATCACAGCAGATTGACTATGTAGCTGTAGTTCACTGCTCTTTGCAACATAAGCCATTTTGCTGTTAGCTCATGTAGACGCATCATTATTAAGTATTTAACATGTTAGTTTTGATTTGTATTGCGTAGTTTCTCTGTGTCTGAGTAATGTTCCAAAAACCTTGCTAATGAGAGGGAAATATGAGAAGCTCACAATAAATAAACGATGAAGCAAAGACAGCTTGGACCACCCTTTGTTCATCATCAAAGCTCGCACTTTGGCAGCAACTACATACAAGCCAGCTAATAAGAATAATTAGCTAATATGGCAAACATCCCTCAATAAGCTGAATGTTTTAATTAAAACTCTGGGAGGACACTAGATTTTGCACATTCTATCTGTTCTGACTTTAGAAGGAAACAAGCCTGTAATTAGCAATCACAGCTCGTTTTACAAAAAAAAAAAAAAAAAAAAAAAAA